AGCTTTGAACAAGGGAAGGGAGGTTTAGAGCTCAGGACCTGAGGAGCGCAGGGAACAAAGCACCAGAGGAGCTGGGGACAAGGAGACAGCCTCTCCCACGACACCCTTGTGCAAGGACAGGCCCTGTGAGCAGCAGGGGACCTCGCTGGCGCCTACGTGGGAGACAAGTGCTGCAGCCTGAGAACCAACAATGAACAAAGGCCGCCCGGTGCTCCCTTGGAATCAGGGAGATCTGACAACAACCCAAGCCGTTTGATCAGTGTAGACATCCCTTCTGGACTTGGAAGCCTGAATCGCTCTTCTTCCGCTGTCTACACAGATCGAATGAGCTGGAGGACTGCCACAGCTCGATGCACTGCGTGCTAATCCACAGTCCCAGCCAGCTCCGCGGCAACCCGACCGACCGAGCCATCTGAGCAGAGGCAAAAATAATTCTCCTGGGCAGAGAGAGACAGTCTCAAGCTGTGAGCGTTAACTCCTTGCTGGCGCTTCAGCAGGGAGTGGGTCTGCAAGTGGCTTTAGGAAGCTTTTGAGAAGGGAGAGTCTGCACCCCCAAGGTGAAGTGGCAACGGCACCCCCAAGGTGAAGTGGCAACGCGGTCTTCCCTCCTCAACAACCCCAGCCCTTCCCGGCCCAGGGTCTCTGGGGAGGATGCTTCAAAAAGTTCATGGGAGAAAACGAACGTATGAATTTAGGGGCAGGTGCTTGGGCTAGCAGGCTGTAGAGACACCTGCGTTCCCCAATCACAGTATCCCAGTTCCAGCTCCTGACTCCAGTTCCTTGCTAACGCAGATGGTGGGGAGGCAGCGGTGATGTCTTAAGTCCCTGGGTTCCTGCTCCCCACGTGGGAAACCTGGACGCAGCTGCTGGCTCCTGGCTTTGGCCACAGCCCACACTGGCCATTGTGGGCATTTAGGGAGTGAACCAGCAGGTAGGAGCTCTCTCTGTCTCTCTTTCTTTATGTCTCCAATTAAAAAAAAAAAGAACTTTTAAAGTATGAGTTTATTTTGGTGCCAGAAATTTTTTGAAATCTGTGCAGTTTTTTCATAATATGAATTTTCTCCATCTTATGAAAAAAATTTTTTTGCATCAGAAAGTGTTTTGCACCAAAATGAGTTCACATTTTAAATTCCATTTTCCATGAACATTTTGAAGTACCCTCATGTGTGAACACCCAAAAGAGTGGCCCGTGGATAGCGAGGGTCTGGTCTGGCTCGCAGAAAGGCCACCCCACCCTTAAGAACAGGGAACATCCCACCTCACAAACATCTCTTTACTCCTAGAACATTCCAAGGGGCTCCTGCCCCCACCAAGCCCCTCTGTCCTCAAGCACCAGTGAAATCCTCATCACAGACTCATAGGGCCAGGCATCTAACAGCAACACCAGCGCCAAGCAGCATGGCTAGAAAAGATGAAAACCTATGTGAGTTCTAACATCTCCGTTCCTGGCTGTGGTTTCCATGGAAATAGACATCTGCTCTGGGGAGAAAGGAAAGGTGGGGGGAGTGGTGTCAGTGCTTTAAAATAATCAGTGTTTTGAAAGGTTAATTCTGCTCCCCTGTCACAACATGAATAGTCAGAAATGTGAGATTTTTGTGTGGCAACTTCGTGTGTCTAAAAAAACATCCCTGTGCATCCACTGGGTGAGCCCTCCGACCGACCGGGAAGACTTCAGGACAGAAGGCGGGGTCCAGGCATAATGGGCCCGCATGGCCGTGACTCCCGCACTCGCGGTGCCTGCTGATCTGCCACCTTTTAGCAAGGTCTTATCCCACCCCTCTCTAGCCTTTTAAGTAATTTCTCAGGTCCCACTCACAAAACCGACAGACACACCTGGCCAAGTTTGATCAAGAGGGGCTGAGAATCGGAACCACTCCCACTCACAGACTAAGCGGAAACCCCCTCCCATTGGCTGGGGAGGGGCTGACCCCCACACAAGGGCGATTGAAAATACAGCTCAGGCAATGGCCAAGTTGCTAATTGTCTGCTTTGTGTGGTGTCTGCTCCCCGTGTGGTGGTTTTTCATTGTCCCTGGCACCTATTAATGGTGCTTTATCTCCGGCACATCCCTAGTGACTAGCTGGCTGTGGAAGTCGCTTTAAATTAAGACTTCTAGGGCGTTGGTCCCATTTGCCTCTGGGTTTGGGGAGACACAACCCATGAATAAAACACAGGTGTCTTGCTTAGGCTCCCAAGGACACGACCATCATCAAGGAGAGAAGGAGTCCAATAACTGTGTACATTTTTTGCCCTTTTTTTTTTTTTTTTTTTTTTTTTTTTTTGCCTTTCTGTAGGAAAATAGAGGCGGCTCTTGTTGTAGAGGGGTGAGGGCTCGGTTCATTCTAAGATAGCCGGGGTCAGACCAGTTTCCCTGTGCCTCTGCTCTGACTCTGTTCCCCGCAGGCCGGAGCACCGGCGACCTTGAGCTTCTTTTGTTTTGAATCTCAAAAAGAGCCCCATACAGCTCCGGGAAGCACGTGCTCCAAGAACAAAGCCAGCACATAAACGCAGTCTGTGGGGTCGAGAACTGCTGTGGCTCTTCTTTCCCGGTCCCCGGCCAAAGGCTTGGCACAACAGATGGAGGGTGCCTGCGAGCCGAGGGGCTTTGTTCCACCCCAGATCAAATTCCCGAGCCCGCACGCCGTTCCGCACCGGTCCGGGTGCTGGGGATGAGGGCGAGGGCGCGCCCAGTGAGGGAGGGGCCGCGCCCGGGACCCGTCAGCGCTGTCCGGGTTAGGGATTACAGGTGACACGCCGGTGTCTACCCGGGACAGGGCGCCGGAGGCAGTGGGACACGCCAGGGAGCGAAGCCGCACTGTCCTGTTACAGGGGCTCGGGCGTCCGGGGCGACGGTGCGGGGCTGGGGTTCACCAGAAGGGACACCGCTGTGTCCGAGTGCTGCCCTTGGGGCAATGCGGGGCACGTGGCTCGACAGAGGCGGAGTCCGGACGGCCACCGTCCCAGAGGTAGGGAGGGACCCCCGGCCCCGCCCTGCCCCGCCCTTCTCCTAGAGACAGGGCACTTGGTTCGGACCCCGGCCCGGGGGCCGCCGCAACGCACTCCCCCGCGGTGAGACAGCCTCCCCAGCCCCTAGTTCACACCTGGGGCGGCCCCCTGAGCGCCCCCCACCCCTCGCATTGTCTCCCTGCCCCTCCAGCCCGGACTACGCTTCCCGAGGTGCTCCAGGGTCCCGGGGGGCGGCGCCCACTCGCCGGCGGGGGAGGGGCCGGCACGTGCCGCCCCTCGCAGCCAATGCGGAGCCCTGCGGGGAAGTCACGTGCCGCTGTTTGGCGCTTTTGTGCGCGCCCAGGTCTGTTGGTGCTCAGAGTGTGGCCAGGCGGCTCGGACTGAGCAGGTGGGTGTGGGGCTCCCGGAGCCGCCGGCGGCGGCGGCGGCCGCGGGCTGAGCCCGGCGAGAGGGACGCGGCGGGCGGGAGGGGCCGCGCCGGAGCAGCCGCCCCCTGCTGGAAGGCGGCGGGCGGGGCCGCGGCCTCGGAGGGGCTGGAGGGCGGGGGTCGCAGCGCTTTGTGTGCGGCTCGGGCGGAGCCTCGGCTTTGTCCCCGCTCCCTGGGGGCGCGGCTGTCGTGGGGAGGGGGCGCGGCCAGCCGGGGGAGCTCCCGGCATCAGCTCGGGGGTGCCATCCAGGAGACAATAGGGGGCGTGGGCCCTCGTTTTCCTCCTTCCTTCTGCCCCCTCCCTCTCTCCCCCTGCGGGCGCTGCCCCTCTGGGGTCCCCATTGTCGGGAGGGGAGGGGCGGCGCCTCTAGGGAGCTGCGGACTGCGGGCGGCCAGAGGCGCGTCCCCTGCCCGCGGCGACCCGTGTGGGGGACTGAGGGGCGGCGCCCCGCCAAGGCTCTCCAGCCTTCGCGGCCAAGGGTGCAGACAGCGCGCGGGGCGGCAGACCGGGGACTGGGGCGACGGGAGGAGGCGGTGAGCCGGCGGCGGAGGTGTCGGGCCAACTGTTCCCGCCGCCTGCCCCACCCGCCGTGCTGCGGCTGAGGTGGCGGCGGCCTCGAGGTGTTTTTGGCGGGAGTTGGGGGGGGCTCCGCGCGCGGCGAGGCCGGGAGGGGCGGAGTTACCCGGATTGGACCGTTAGCCACGCCCACCCCTCCCCTTCCCACGCGCGCGGGCTCTAGGGTGTTGGGAGTTCGCGGAGATTCGAAAAGGCGCGGGGAGGAAGGGGGCGGGGCCCGGGGCCGGAGTGCAGGGCGTGCTCTGATTGGCCGGGCGCGGCCCTGCGTCCCCGCCCGGCCGGGGCCACGCCCATGCCGGGTCCCGGGCTCTGCGGCGCCGAGGCGATTTCGCCGCCCGTGACTTGGGAACCCGTGGTCCTGTGTTTTCGGTGATCGCGTGGGGTCTTGCAAAAATCGTGACTTTAAAAAAAAATCAACAAAGGGTGTAGGATTTTTCGTGACATATGGCAGCAAATGTGGTAACTTAGAGCCCAGAGGTTGCTGAAATTTCATTTTGCCCGCTGTTGGGCAGGTAGCTGAGACGTCACGAACAATAGGCGCTCCACATTATTGGTGGATCCCAGCCTGGGCGTTTTGTCATCCACCCTGGCAGACGCAGACAAAGCAGGGCGGGTGTCGGTGCGCACAATGCGCGGTCGGCAGTGATAAGATGGCTCCGGGGCTCGCCCCGCGAGTGGCATTTGAATGTTCTCGGCTTGGGGCTCGGGGTGGGGGGTGGGGGATCCCTCAACCTTGCACCTTCACCTCTTCTAATTTTAAGAAATCCAAGTGTTGTTTTTTGAAAGAGCAATCTCCATTAACTGGATTTTCTGCAACCAGTGTTTTGTTCTTCGATTCAGATTTCCCAGTGTGCTGCAGTATTTGATCGATTTTGCTCGTTCTCTTCCCTGATTCATGATGTCTTATTTAATTGCACGTAGTGATTTTTCTGCCACTGATTTATGTGGAGGTGGTGTGAGGTTCCTTTGTGTGGGTGACCTAGGGAAATGCAAAGAAACTGATGGCATGCTTCTGCACATCGTTTTCAGGGCTTCCCTCACCACCGGATTCTGTAGCGTACACTGCCAGTCTCTTGTCTTCCTTCACCATGGCGTCTTCTGGTAGGTGACGTGCTTAGATAAGCTGAAATTGTGATGAGTAGGCGGCTCAGGTTAAGTCTTGAATTTGGCACTTGTGTTTTGGTCTTCTCGAAAATCCAATTCATATATAGGAGGATAAAAGAAAAAATGATCTCTCACTTGAATGTACTAAGGACTCATGACTGTTTCATTATTAGATGATTGGCTTGGTCCAAAGCAAAATCGTGGTGTTAGCACGAGTCTTTCTTTTGTTCATGAGAGTGATGTCAAACACTGATGTCTCAGAATAGTGACTTAGTCCACGCATGTTGAGCTTTGTTTCCTGGGAGGTGGCGTTTAAGTAACAGTTTCTTGCCTGCAGGCATATCATCTTCATCAGCCTTAATTCTATCATTTAGTTGCCTTGGTTTTTAGAAAATTAGAGGACAGTTGATTTGGAGACACCCGTTTTTCTCAATTGTCGTATATATGATCAACTGCAGATATTCAGGTGAAAGAACTGGAGAAGCGTGCTTCGGGCCAGGCTTTTGAGCTGATTCTCAGCCCTCGGTCAAAAGAATCTGTCCCGGATTTCCCCCTTTCCCCTCCGAAGAAGAAGGATCTTTCCCTGGAGGAGATTCAGAAGAAATTAGAAGCTGCTGAAGAAAGACGCAAGGTAAACATCACAATTCGCAGACAACAAGGTGTTGATAATGAAATGGGGCAGATTTGTTTGATTTCCATAATAGGAGGAAACAGTTGTAGGTACACCGACATCGCTGGAAATCAACGGTGCCAGTGGCTGGCAGAGAGCAGCATCCATTGTTTGCTGAGCTGCTGTGTTGTGCCAGCCCCTGCACTAACTCAGCGATCCTGTGGGGCAGACGCTGTCCCAGGCAGGCAGGCTGGAAGACTGGGAATGTTTTCCTCAGGTCACACAGGTGGTGTGGGGACCAGATGCAAGCCACTTTGGCATGAACCGAAGCTCATGCCTCCTGTGCTTGTCTTTGCAAAACGGCAGATGTTTGGCAGGTGATTATCTCTGGTTTTGTTTTGTGAAAGCTATACAATAGAAACGTTTTAAATTGCTGATAATATGGTTGTGCTGCTCAACTGGTTTGCAAGTTCTTTTATCTAAGCCATTCTGTTATCAAGTAGCCATCTTTAAAAACAACTAGTCAGAAAAATCAACAAGTATTAATATCCTTACTGTAGAAAAATTGGGAAACTTAATGTTTATAAATGGAAATTAAAAATATTTTATTATCCCATTTCCCAGAAATAAGCCTTGTTGGCGTTTTGGTACATGTTCTGCCTGTCAACATTATTCTCTTTAAGAATTGTATACAGGGGTGGTCTTTGGGGACAGTGGTTAAGATGCCCAAGTGCCTGGGTTTGAGTCCTGGCTGCACTTCTGATTCCAGTTTCCTGCTAATGGACACGCTGGAAACAGCAGGTGAAAGTTCAAGTCCTTTGGGCCCTGCCGCCCACAGAGGGGACCAGGATGGAGTCACCTCCTGGCTTTGCCTGGGCCAGCCAGCCCTGGCTGATGGAGCCATCTGAGGAGTGAACCAGCAGATGGAAAATCTCTGGCTGTGTCTGACTTTCAAATAAAATGAAAAAGAGATATTAGTAAATGAAATTACATAAATTGTCAGTCTCCCTCTTCCCAACAGCCCTTATTGGGATAGGTGGGTTTAATTTTGAAGTTGGAAACTAAGGCACAAAAAGGTGAAGTGTCGATCTGCCCCGCATCGGCACGGCTGGTCTGATTTGCAGAGCGCTGTGCACGCACACAGGCAGTCCCCTTGCTAAGCTGCTGTAGCATGTGCCCTGTCCCTTTCGGTGCCACCTGGCCTGTGTGTGCCCTGACCCACTGTCAGCACTGGGAATCTTTCCCCAGGAAGAGTGGCAGGGTTTGCACTGCTGTGTCGTCTCTGCCCACCCTTCTCCGTGCCTGGCGTTCGTGGAGTAGGAGGAAGCAATGTCATCGTAGGCTGCGCGGGGGGGGTTCTTCAGAAGCCGACAATGGCCTCTGGTTCCTGGCTGGTGTGTCACATGCTGACTGGCTGAGAACAGGGATTTGGCAGGGCAGGGCTGGCCGAGCCAGGGGCAGGTGCTTTGTAGTTGCCCCTCAAGCCATCGCTGCCCCACGTACCCACTCTGTGACAGCAAGCTCTTCCCAGCCTGGGGTGTTTGCTTCTCACAGTAGAAATCCTGGTTTACACAGTAATTTGGGGCTTAGTTTTAAATTTTCTGTCACTCATTGTGGGGCAGTGGGAGGAGGGTATGTGTACATATCTATCAGTTCTGGCTAAAATTTCTGCAGGGAGGTGATTTCTTTGGGTAGCCTTTGAAGTTAACAACCAGAATGCTTCACAGCGATGTTGCCATTCCTAAGGGAACAGTTATTGGAGTCATCAGGATTCCATGAAGCAGTAGATCTTGGGAGGATGTCTTAATAATTGGGCATGAAATCACTGAACAAATATGGGCAGTTTTCCAAAGTAAATACAAACACTAGCAGAAATGATTTTTGCGGTATTTATGATAGGGAAAATTCAGGTGCTAACCTCAGCATTAGTTAAAGGAACTGTATTCTCGCTCTGTCTCTCCAGTCTCCCTGATAAGCAGTTTCTCTGTCACTTAACCAGTGCTGCTCCATGCACTGCCGAGCCTAGCCTGTTACACTTTCTTCCAGTCCCATGAAGCCGAGGTCTTGAAGCAGCTTGCCGAGAAACGGGAGCACGAGAAAGAAGTGCTGCAGAAAGCGATAGAAGAGAACAACAACTTCAGCAAAATGGCGGAAGAGAAACTGACCCACAAGATGGAAGCTAACAAAGAGAACCGAGAGGCCCAGATGGCTGCCAAGCTGGAGCGTTTGCGAGAGAAGGTGGGTTTCCTGCTTGGTAGAGGGCGCAGGAGCCCGAGGTCGATGCGTCAGTGCTCGCCTGGACTGCCTGCGTTGATCAAAGGTGCTTGGTGTCTCTGTCATCAGTCGAAGGCTTGACCCCTGGAGGGGTCTGATTTTCAGGGGGAGTCTTGAGTGCCTCCCAGCGTAGCTGCACGTCCCCGGGAAGAGCGGTCGGAGGCTTAGTTTCCAGGTTGCACAAGGTCTGCAGGAGGTTCACAGATGATGATGTCAGGACTCCAACCGTGCGATGCCCGCAGCCTGTACAGTGTGGGCTGGGGCTGGGGCGGTGGGTGTGACCGGACCTGACAGGCTTTGTGGTTTGATTGACGACCCCGTTTCTTTTCAGGATAAGCACATTGAGGAAGTGCGGAAGAACAAAGAATCCAAAGACCCCGCTGATGAGACTGAAGCTGACTAAGTTCTGAGAATTGACTTTCTCCCCTTCCCCTTCCTAAATATCCAAAGACTGTACTGGCCAGTGTCGTTTCATTTGTTCCCTCCTGACAAATACCCTAGCAGCTGATGTAGGACTGTATAGGTAGACCCGACCGTAAGATGTTGTTTTAGGGGCTAAGGGGAGAAACTGAAAGTGTTTGACTCTTTTTCTAAAGTGTTGGTCTTTCTAATGTAGCTATTTTTCTTGCATCTTTCCTACTTCAGTACACTCGTGTACTGGGTTAATGGCTAGTACTGTATTGGCTCTGTGAAAACATGTTTGTGAAAAGAGTATGTAGTGGCTCCTTCCGAACCGTTAGATGCTGATTATCTGTTCACTCTTCAATCCCAATTCTGTCCCCATCTTACCAGATGCTACTGTACTTGAATGGTTAATAAAGCTGCACAGTGCTGTTGGTGGCCGGGACTTGTTTTTATTCGGGTGATAAACGACCAAGCCGTAGAGACCCTCCGAGTTCATATTTGTTCCAGATGAGGCCTCTGGGCCAGTGAAGTCCCAGTGTGCACATCCCTGCGAGTTCCCTGCCCTCGAGTTTCCTGCTCCAGAGTCGCTGGCATTGTCTGCTCCCACAATCATCACTTTGTGTGGGTGCCTCGGCCCAGATCAGCTGTTACTATATTCTTTCAGATGTTTATTTGCAAACAAGCATTTTTTTGTTCCTCTGTCCCTGTTAAAGAGGCAGATTAAAGGCACAAATGGTGTTTCTGGAGAACAGTCTTGAGGGAACCTTAAGCTCCTAGGACACTAGCTGGTTGGTTTGCTTTGTTGCAGCTGGGGGAGGGGTGCCCCCTAATGCTTTGCCGTGTCCCCACTTCTGTGAAATGATAGAAAGGGACTTTATTTCCCAGAGTAGCATTGGACTTGGGTGGCCAGGGTTGGCAGATGGCTTCAGCTTGTATCTAGAAGCTGTGATACCCACCATGTCAGAGCATTGCCTCCGTTCAGGGAAAGCCTTTGGCGACTTTCCTAGGCCACTTGGGAAGCGGCCTAATTGCACAGGATCATTTGCTTCTCAGACATCTAAGGCTGCTGGAAGCCGAGCACTTGCAGGAGAGTGGTGTGGGATGACTGCTGGTAGTGGGGCCCACGTGCTGCTGGTGCACGTGCTTCTGCCATTCTGGCTTTGTCTCGCTCTCTCTTAATAGTGTGTGTTTTTAAAGGATTTATTTATTTGAAAAGAAGAGTTACAGAGAGAAAGAGATGATCTTCCATTCACTGCTTCCTTTCCCAGATTACCTCAATGGCCAGAGCTGAGCCAGGCCAAAGCCACGAGCCTAGAACTTCATCCAGGCCTCCCATGTGTGTAGCAGGGCCCCAAGTACTAGGGTCATCTGCTGTTGTTGTCCCAGGTGCATTAGCAGGTAGTTAGATCAGAAGCAGAGCGGCCAGGAGTTACACCAGCACTCATATGGGATGCAGGCAACACAGGCAGAGGCTTAACCCACTGTACCACAATGCCAGCCCCAAGTCTGACTTTATCTTACCTTGGGTTTTACTAAACTTATTTATGAGCAAAATAATAGCCTACTTCAGTGTACCTTGTGTTAGGAGTGAATGAGTGTGTGTGGAGAGAGCACGCTTAGGAGTGTTTAGGGTATATTAGCACTTAACTACTGACTATCATTTTCGACCAGCAGCTAAGGAGTGATCTGGTTTGTACTCTGGGTTGGAGCTGATGCAGTTTCAATGTGTCTTGAATTGACTTAAGTTTAGACTAAGATGATCATAGGAGTTCTAAAAAACAGTATGAAGAGTGAACTGGCACATAGAGCCACTGGAGCAAGGTCGAAGGTGGTTTAATATACACACAGTTCTGAGCAGTACGTGAATGACGAGGGAGAGCGGAGCCTTGTGTGCAGGGCTCGGCTTTGGCTGTAGGTCCTGTCTCTGCCGCGCAGTAGGTGTTAAAGGTTTGCAGGGGGTGAGGTGGGGCTTACAGGATCTTGGAAACAGCTCTGAGTGGGTGGGATCCTAAGACCTGAAGGTAGACATTTGGAGTAATGACACCAGGTGTCCTGCAGATGGCAGTAAGCTTGTGTTCACCCAGGGCCTGTGGAGAGGAGAGCAGACCTCAGAGGAAGGCCGAGGAGTTGAGATGGGCCTGAAGGAGGATTTCCTAGCTGGTTCCAGCCAGCCGCACTGCCCTGACTTCTATCCGAAGGCTCACCCGAGCCCCCAGCTCGAGATAGCAGTGTTGCCGGGAAAGGAGGGCGCACATCCCAGCCGTGAGATAGAAACGCCAGCTTTGCTGCTGCACCTCTGAGCTTCGGAAGGTCCTTAGTCCTGGGCTCCAGTTCTCTCCTGGATGGAATGAGGTGCTAGGCTGAGTCAGTTAAGTAGCTTCTACTCCAGACTTCTTGTTTGGGAGGGAGGGAGGAGTGGAGGGTTCCCCGAGCTTCTGCAGAGAGTTAGTGGAGTCTCTTGACACCTGCCGCCTCCTCTGCTCAGCTGAAGCAGCCAGTCCAGACCCTGTGGCTGGGCGCCGTGCCAGTGGGAGCTGGTGTTCTGCACTGCAGGGGCACAGGGAGGGTCTCTGCTTGCTTTGTATGTGCACCTACATTGTAAAAATGTAGGGCTTGACAAGCTCCAGCATGCAGCAGCCTCGGTGGAGGGGCTCTGGCCCCTGACCGGAAAGGCCCGGCTTCCCCCAGTGTGACCCAGGACAGTCCTTTCCCTGGCCTTGGGCACCAAATCCTACCGGGACAAGTGGGCTGCTGAAACTGGATCCCAGGGAGGAAGAAGTGGGGAATGAGCCAGATGTTCCACGGCTGCCAGCCAGCCAAATGACGGGAGAGAGAAGGACTGAGCCTCTGCCTGGGCTTCAATCCGCGGGGCTCCTGCTCCCTTCACTGCAAAATCCCTGGTATTTCCTGGGGTGGGGGTAGGGGTGGCATTGGGGGGGCTCCCTGTGCTAACCCTGGTTTCCCCTCTTTGGTGTTGTCACAGTTCTTAGTGCTTAATAGTAGCAGCTAAGAATTTCTTTTTAATATTTATTTGTTTAAAAGAGTTAGAAGGAGATAGGGAGGGAGAGAGATCTTCCACCCACTGGTTCACTTTCCAAATGGCTGAAGCCAGAAGCCTGGAATTCCATCAGGGCAGGGCCTAAGCACTTGTGCCGTCTTCTGCAGCTCTCCCAGGCACATTAGCAGGGAGCTGGATTGGACGTGGAGCAGCTGGGAGTTGACCTGGTTGGTGCTTTGATAGGAGATGCTGGTGCCGCAAGCAGCAGCTTAACCTGCTGCGCCACAACACCAGCCCTGCAAGCCCCAGTTTTAACCCCCCGTGCCATACCACAGTTCCTCATGTATCACAAACAGTCTGTTATGCGGTTATGTGTTGGGATCGGGAGTCCCTGTGGGTCCCTGAGAGGTGAACTGTCATGTTTGCCACTGGGTCAGGATCCGCCTGGCTCATAATGAGTAGGCATTGAATTAATTATGAGTGGGCAAGTGACTCGGAAGCCCGCAGGAGCATTTGCTTTGTCCTGGTCCTCTGTGGACCCCATGGGGAATCAGTATGATTTTTTAGAAGTGAAGAATGGCTCTGCCCTAGCTTTGCAGATTGGCCTCCGAGGTGCCCAATCCTTGATTGCATCCTAAATCTGAAGGCACAAGCTGGTGGCCTGCAGCCAGCAGCAATCCGAAGGCATGTTGTGATTGTCCCATGCTGTGTCTTGAATCGTTGAATTATTTGACAATTCCACATGAAAATCTAATTTCAGGCTTATCTTGAAAAAGAAGATCTGGCAACCGTGGGCGCCCAGTCTCATCCAGACACATCAGCGGACTTGGGTGGCTGCTGCCCCCTAGAGGCTGGGCTTGTGCACTGCAGCTCTCCCTTGGTCTGGCCCACCAGCCTCTGTCCTAAGGACCAGCCTGCCTCTGCCTGAGACCCAGGGTTTGCAGGCCCCGAATCAACCATTTCATTGGTCAGACTTATTTCTTTAGGTCAAAAGTCCAATCAGTACAAAAAGACAAAAAGAGCAATTCCTCCTCCAAGAGGTAGCTGACCTCTGCAGGTGCAAACGTTCACTAGCACTTTTTTTTTTTTTTTTTTTTTTGGACAGGCAGAATTAGAGAGAGAGAGAGAAAGGTCTTCCTTTTTCCATTGGTTCACCTCCTAAATGGCTGCCATGGCCGATGCACTGCGCCAATCTGAAGCCAGGAGCCAGGTGCTTCCTCTTGGTCTCCCATGCGAGTGCAGGGCCCAAGCACTTTGTCCATCCTCCACTGCACTCCTGGGCCACAGCAGAGAGCTGGCCTGGAAAAGGAGCAACCGGGACTAGAACCCGGGGTGCCGGCGCTGCAGGCGGAGGATTAGCCAAGTGAGCCACGGCACCGGCCTCACTAGTGCTTTCTACAGGCTGCACATTGGCTGGGCTTCAGGGTCACAGTGGACCCTCCCAAGATACGGAGACTCAGGACCTCGGGACCCTCCTCAGATGTGGGGAGGTAGAATTTCTTCTGTTTTTCTTTCTTTCTTTTGTTGCTTGGTGAATAAGTTTATTGTCTTTATCAGAGAAATCTTCACAGAAAACTGGTTCAGTGCTCAGCAGCCCATTCCTGAGCTCTGAGGACGCCTGCTTCCTCCTGAGCACCCAATCTTGTGGGCGAGAGATGTCTGGGGACGGTTCCACTCTTCTCTGTAACCCCCCCCCCCCCCATCTCTATCTCTCAAAGGTTTTCATTTGTGTTTGAAGAGCAGAGTGGTGTGGAGAGAGATCTTCCTTCTGCCGGTTCAGTCCCTAAATGCCTGCTACATCCAGGGCTGAAGCCAGGAACCCCATTCTGGTGTCCCGAGTGGGTGGCAGACCTCTGCCTCCCAGGCACATTGGCAGGGAACTGGTTCCGAAGCAGAGCAGCCTGAGCTCAAACTGATACGGGCACCAGTGAAACACTAGTTCAGCACTGGCCCCGTAACGCCTCTTAGGCTTCTTCTCACTCTGGATTCCCTTGGCTCGCAGCATGAGCTTGTTTGTACATCTCCGTTGTGTCTGGAGTTAATGTCGTCCTTTATGTACTGAGTTGTTTTTTGTAAGCATCTTCATCCTCCTTCATCAGATAACGCATACAGCCTGCCACGTTCTGACCCATGGTGCACTGCTGTATCCAACTCCTTGTTTTCAGAATCATAACCAGGGCATTGTTTGTACTGTGAGGGTTGGACACCATTCAGGGCTCCAAAAACCTGATCGCCAGGAGTTCTGCGAGGCCTGCATTCAAACAGCAGGTGAAGACACCAGGTTGGCCATCGGTGCTTTCCACATGGTGTTCACCTCCAGTCGCCTCCACTTGGCCTTCATAGATCTTGTCCATGCCTAGCCTCCCGGGAATCCTGGGAGCCAGCAGCAGGCTGGCACACAGGCGGCAGTGAGATGGGTCGGCCGAACCTCCACTCCGA